GTAGTGCTTAAATATTTTAAAAATCGTGAACGATTGAATGATTATTTACTCCGTTCGAAAAGTAAGATTTGGGATTTTAGGAGGAAAATAAAATCATCTCAAAAGATCTTTCAGAAGTCCAAAGTAGAGGCCCATGTACCAATTGAGATCAAAGTATTTAGGCTCAATATTTCCATCAATTTGATCCAATTGAGCCTCAATGTATTGGGCCAAACAATTCCCATTATGATAACAAGGCCTAAATATCCTCAAACCCTACAACCCAAAATTCATTTCACAAACCACAAAGCTACCTTCTTTACACCACGACCACCACCACGACCACCACCAGAAATGGCAAGCCTAATACCAGAATCCACCAAAAAACTCTTCACCGCAGAAACCCTCCGCTCTGCCGCCAAGCAATCCGACCGCTGCCTTACCGTCCCCGTCCGCCTCCGCCGTGCCATCAAAAGATACCTCCGAGGTAACATTTGCATATAATTTCTGCAAAGATCAAAATTTGTGTGCGCAATAGTTCAAACTTCTTAAAGAAGATGGAATTTGCAGAGCAAGAAGAGCCGCACATGAAGAGAAAAGTGTTAAGACTATCAGAATCATTCAGTGATATCAAAGACAAAAACTTGATGTTAAGTTATAATGCTTCAAAGGAGCTACTTGACGATCCATTTAAGTCTATTGAGAGGTCTAAAAGATGGAAAATTAAGAGTTCTTATGGTGATATTGGACTTAATTATAGAGATGATGAGACCATTGCTTATGTTGCTTCTCGTATGCCTGCTGTTTTCTCTGCTTGCTATAGAGTCCTTAGCGAAGTAAGTAAAAGTGAATTATTTTTTTCTGTATGTTTAGTGAACATGCCTTGTGTTTCTATTAAAAACCTGATAAAAAGTTTGTGTATTTAGTGAATGTTTCTTGTTTTTTGGTTTGTTTTTTAATTGACGCTTATCGTTTTTTTTTTTTAAAGGTTAGGAGAAGGTTACCAGGTTTTTCCCCTACAAAAGTTTTGGATTTTGGTGCTGGTACTGGTTCAGCTTTCTGGTGAGATGCTCTTCTTTTTATTGTGGTATAATGAGATGTGCAATTATGGAAGTGGTGGTGAGATGTAAAATATAATTATGGAACTGGTGATGAATTTGAGTTTTCTTGATTTTTTAAGTGATATTTTGTAGGGCACTAAGAGAAGTGTGGCCAAAGTCATTAGAGAAGGTAAATTTAGTGGAACCATCACAGTCTATGCAGCGGGCCGGTAGAAGTCTTATACAAGGTAATTTGCTGACTAATTTCTTCAAGTCTTTAGGACATTTTAAATGTTTCGTTTGTTTTAGACTTTTGTGGTTGAGATAAATTCTGACACTAATATATTATACCGATTGTTTTAGATTTGAAGGATTTGCCACTTATTCACAGCTATGATAGCCTTCAAGGATTGACTAAAAGTATTGGCAAGTCCGAGAGGAAACATGACCTTGTAATTGCTGTAAGTTGAATTCTTGATCACTCTTAGCATGTTAGCGTTAACTGCCCCTAAGTGCTTTTCTCTTGTGTTGTGTAACATGTTCTACTTTCTGTGGTGTTGCCTCAACTTCTAAGCCTATGGAAGTTTCATTTTATTTTATCTTTAATTGGTAATAACTACTCCTGTATGTCTGTTGCTATGAAGTCCTATGTGCTAGGGGAGATACCATCATTGAAGGACCGAATTACTATAGTGCGCCAGCTTTGGGATCTTACAGGGGATGTTTTGGTATGTGATCTTTTGCTTGTTATTGATTTTCATGTCTCAGTATATGCATCAGTGTGTTGCCTGCATATGAAGCTGAGGATTTACTGGAGATTTTACATTACCATTCATGTCTTTCTGGTTTTCAGTATAAATGGAGGGAGAGAGAAAAAGTATAATGCTTCTGAACTATGAATACTGCACACTTATATATGTGATTTTCATGTCTCAGCATATGCATGAATGTGATGCCTGCATGTGAAGCTGAGGATTTCCTGGAGATTTGACATTACTAGTTACGTCTTTCTGGTTTTCATTCTAGGATAATGCTTCTGATCTATGAATACTGCACACTTATATATGGGATTTCATTTGTTCTTTGTTAAAGTATTACCTTTTTTGCTGAAACACTAGTGTCGAGCAGGTTTTAATTGAACCAGGTACACCACATGGATATAATATCATATCACTGATGCGATCTCACATACTATGGATGGAGAAAAGGGTCAGTTCATTGTTTCTTATTGAATGTTCTTTGGGAGAATTGTGTTACAGTGCCTATTAGTAAATCTCAGATGAATATATTGTGTTCCTAATTTATGTTTGCACTTTTTTGTCATGCTCATGTAAACCCTTTATACAATTATATCAATGAATTTTCAGAAATGTCGTAAAGCTGAAGGAAAAATCAATGCAACTTGTAAGGACTTGGTGCCCTACAAAGGTGGTGCATTTGTAGTTGCTCCTGTAAGTATCATAATGGTCTTTCTCCTAGTTTTCTTTCTTGTGAGGTCAACTTATGGAGCTGGCTTGTCACTTTTTTTTTTTCTCTTTATTTGCCTAACAGCAATCTTGATGCAGTGTTCTCATGATGGGCGTTGTCCTTTGGAGAAATCTGGAAAATACTGTCATTTTGCTCAGCGGTTGCAGAGGACATCATCACAACGAGCATACAAGGTGCGGTACATCCTGCATTGTTTGCATGCAAGATTCATGTCTCTAGCATGTTAGGGGGCACATTAATTTATCAGAAAAAAGGATGTGGAATTCATAGAATTAATGATTGGTTATAAAAATGAAAAGAAAAGGTTCTTAATTTGCATATTGTGTTTTACCAATCAAAGATTATGTACTCTAGATTATGAGAGGAAGCATGTATAAGCGTCAAATTATCATATAATCTCTAAATATTTGTACTGGGGAATATAACCAAGTTGCCCAAGTGTTCAGGTATTTCTATAGTATATACAACAAAATGATGTAGGCCCTTTGAGATATGTGTAAAAGAAAATAGGAAGTCAATGGAAATTGGGATTTTGTTTGTTAACACTTTAATATATCAGCCACAATCAAACAGCATTGTTTCACAAACATTTATATGTAGTTTGAATGTTTAGCTTGCATATTTCAAGTGTTAGTTTGATATGGATGTTAGTTTGTTTGGTAGTCAGGATATGAATAGTTTTCTGTACCATGTTTTACTTTACGAGATAGACCTTGCCATGTTTAGTGGTTGCATCATAATATCAGCATCTGTTGAAACAGAGAGCTGTACATTCGAATACTATTTTAAGGGGTTGCATCTTATCAAAATTGTAAAGATTCGTTTTTGAGTTTATAGTTATCCTTTTGTTTCAAGTTATTTGCAGTTTTCATTCTTTTTCTGTAACACCTGTAATATGTAGAAGAATGTGGGTATTTCTTTTGTTTGTTGAAAGAGAGATTCTGCTGCCCCCTTTTGGAAGGATTGAAGTAAGGAATTCACCATTATACTTCTCTTGTTCATGACTGATTTGCAGCGTTCCAAGGGTGAAACTTTACGTGGATTTGAGGATGAGAAGTTTTCCTTTGTTGCTTTCAGACGAGGACAACGACCCCGGTTGGTATTCTAATACAATGTGTTAAAATTTATGAATTGTTTTATTTGGAGAAAATTCATCAACATAAAATATTGAAGGTATGATTTTTTTTTTCATCATTCTACTGAGAAATATTATTATCGAGTAAATTATCCAATATTACATGGATTTAGCTCTGTTATTATTTTTTTTAAACTGTCATCATGAACAACCCTGCTGTTTTATTCCAGCATCGATGTCTTATGGTGCACAATTTTTTTTTAATAATTTTTGAGAGATACAAAATGGTAGTAGGCTTCAATAGTTCAAATATAGAAAAGGAAGTCAATATCTAAGACAAAATACACAATGGAGACTGTTCAAGAGTTGAATATGCAACATCTTCAATCCCCTATCTGCTTCCCTATTAACGTTTCTAACAAGCTATCAAACAAGTCAATATTAGAGCTTAGTCCAAGTAGACGGCTTGGTTCCAATACTACAATCTGCTCATTGCCCAGGATTAATATTTAATTTTCCTTTCATAGATTATTGTACTCTGCACATTGCCCAAGACTACGTTCTGAATGTTGTTTATTGTTGTTTTACCCTGCTCCATTTGAACAGAGATCCTTGGCCTCTTGATGGCATTAAACTTGAGACTTTAAAGGAGCAGCATGCTAAAAGAAATCCAGAAGATCTAGAGATTGAATATGGTAAATTCAAATCTTTGTTTCTTAGAAGTCCCTAAAGAAATGCTTTCATGCAACTTGATTGGTGTTAGACAGCTACTTAAAAGTACAATTGCATCACCACTTTATATGTTTACACAATTTGGGATATTCTGATTCCACTCCATTTCTGTTATCTGCAATTGATTTGACAGAGGACTTGATTAAGCAAAATCAACCTGAGGAGGTTCCATATGAAGAAGTGGACCCAGTTTACTATGATTCTGATATTGTTGAAACTGACACCATTGATGAAAATGACGAAGAGGAGCAAGAACAAGAAGAAGCTCATGCCGATCTTGGGGGAGGTTGGGGAAGGATAGTTTTCTCACCTGTTAGGAGAGGCAGGCACGTAACCTTGGATGTTTGCAAATCAAACAGTCGTGATAACTCAGAGGGCTCTTTTGAACGTATAGTTGTCACACAGAGTAAAAATCCTGCATTACATCATCAGGCACGAAGATCTCTCTGGGGTGACTTATGGCCATTTTAAAGCAAAATGACCTGTGCATTTTCTTTGTAATCGCTCTGGTACATTGAATTGAAAACAGGTATAGATGCTGCTAATATTTATCATTTTGTATATTTGTGCTTTTTTTTCACCATGTTAATTTTATTTACATCATCCCCACGAGGGGTGGGATAAATGGTACTCCAGACAAGAACCTTGTGTTGTAGCGATTTTGATTTTAAATTGGAATGAATTTCATGAAGTTGGAAATTGCAATGAGAGAAACCCCTCTTCTATCCCTTTTCCCTCAAGAACCGTGCAGAACAATAGAGATGCCAACGTTTTTTCGGTTTGGTCATGTTTGTGCTGCCCTAGAAAGAACTGGCATAACTTACAAATTTCCCTGTATGAAAACACAGATCAACTCGAACCAGTTCAAGTTGAGCTCATTCAACTTTGGGACTCAGCAAACTTTTACCGGGCCGAACGATATTGAAACATGCCTAACCTCGGCTCTGCTTGATGTGTTTGTAAACCAAACTGGGAACGATGAGCCAATCGCACAGAAACCTAGTTTGAAATTAAGCTCCAAATCAATGCTCAAGCTAAACTAATTTTCAAATAGCATAAATTAGGGCTTGACTTGCTTTACATTCATAAGCCAATAGAGAAACAATTGGTCCCACTGATTGAGAGTTGCTAGCCAAAGTCCAATCAAAATTCAACTTGCACGTGTCATAAGAGAACAAATTAAAATTTTCTAGTTAATGAGAATCAAAAAGCAAACCCTCTTTTTTTCTTTTTTTCTTTTTATATAGTCAAAAAAAAAAAAAAAAAAAGAAAAAAGTCAATCCCTTTGTATTTGCTGAACGGTTTAGTTAATTGACATTATGACAATCTTTAATTAATTTATTACAATTTGTAACTCCAAAAGAAAGCAATGCATATGAATGACAGTAGTAAGAGATCCAGAACAGGATCAAGAAGAATAACCTTGTGACGCACGTTTGTGAATGGAAACAATACACAAAAAGTTAAACCTAACAAGTCTAGTTTAGCTAGTTTGCATTATTTATATGCTCATGCCATATTTTGTCTATTTTTTTTATTAAAAAAAAAAAGATGAAGAGTTTTGACGACAAAAGTGGCCTCGCGTACGTCTTTCTTAAGCATGCAGGTATGCAAGATATGGAAATCTTTACAATCAAGACATCACGAGACACGTCTCATTAATTCTTAAGTTTTCTCAATGCAGTATTATTGCCCATCAGAGATACTCCCATTTTGGTTGTCATCATCCATAGTTAACCTAGTATCATACTTCTCGATTTAGACAACTCTTTAAGAAAAGAGAGAGGGAAAGAAAAGGAGTGGCAAAAGAAGGGAGGTAGGCATGTGCAATCGTGCACATCCTTTTATTACATTAACAATTAAGCCAAAAGAGAATCCACAAAGGAATCTAGCTGACCATGATCATCTGCCTTGAGGAGTTGCTGATATTCCTCAAAGATGTCATCTAGCATAATTCCATTGAGTAAAGAACTTGGACACGAGGAATCATGGTCATAAAAAGGACCATCAAATTCTTCACTATTTGAAGGCCTACCCTCTCCAACATTGCTAGCGACTTTAAGACCAGAAATGCCCCAACTGGTGCTATTACCAACTTCTGCAGGAATAGATGATGACCCAGTCATGTTTCGAATATTACTGATATTCTTTGCAACTGAGGATGGAGAAACCCTGATTGCCTTTGGGAGATGAATCTTGATCATCTTAGTAGTCTCTCCATTTGTACTACTGGTGTCCTCGTTTTGCTTCTTTTTTTGTTGGGCTTGATGCCACTTCTCTTTCCAGCTGATCCCCCCATGCATTTGGACTTATTTCCTGCTGTGTTTTTCTTGAGTCTTTTGCTAAGGTGAGAGTTCCAGTAGTTCTTGATTTCATTGTCAGTTCGGCCTGGCAACCTTCCTGCAATGAGAGACCAACGATTGCCAAGAAGAGAATGCAGCCGAACGATAAGGTCATCCTCATCAGGAGTGATGTTCCCTCTCTTGATATCAGGCCGAAGGTAGTTCATCCATCTTAGCCTGCAACTCTTGCCACATCTAAGAAGCCCTTCATTCATATGAAAGCACAAACACTTACGATAAAACTAGAAAATCAATTTTGAATAGTAGTGCATACGCATGTGCGTGGATGAATTTTACAATTAAACTGTATAAACTGTTGGGAAAGAAAGAATTGCTTCACTTACCAGCCTTCTTAGGCAAGGATCTCCAATGACCTTCACCATGCGCCTGAATATAGTTAATGAGTAGTGTGTCTTCTCTAGTAGTCCATGGACCTCTATGCAAACCAACTTTAGAGCAACATGGAGCTCTTCCCATTTTAACTCCCCTTAATCACAATGTCTAGTATTTTCTTCACAAGAGTGTACAGGATTAATCCACAAATCTTTTGCTTCATTCCCTTTTAAATCCACAAGCCTGGGAACATTTTATTCATTTATTTATTATTATTTTATTTTGTTGACTTAAGGAAACCAACATAAACATATGAAGAATAGAAGAGTCTAGAAGATCTTGCATTTAAGCTTATGTCTCCAAGTGAGGTAGATATTGTTTCTTTTCCCCAAGTGTGGTGGTAAGTGGCAATAAGCTGAACAAACTTTCTCATACATTTATCTGCCCTTCATAGTCCATTAATTATTTCTTAATGGCCGTGAGCATACGATCAAAATGGTAGCTAGAGTCAACCATTTTGGGTGTGTACTAGAAAAATAAAACCTCGTAAAATATTACAGTAGAAATACAGTAACATTAGAAATTTCTTCCAGAATGTAAGAAAGGTAATATTTTACCTATTACCTAAGATTACTAGAAACAGAAAGAAAGGCGTGCAGAAAATTCTCTGTGAAGTGCTCAACTAATTAAATTCGCTGAAGTAATATAGAGATGCCAATAGATTTTGATTATGGTTTACTGCCATTAATTATAGCAAGTGCATTTATTGGACTCTAAATGTGAATAAATACAATATTTATTATGCATCAGCAGCGGGGCCTCAAAGGATCGATAAGGATTAACTAATTGAGAACATTATTGTTGCTATCACATGTTGAGCCTAATTATTGAGTCTTTTTTTTTCTTACTTACTTACTTTACCAAAATAAGATGTTCCTAAATCTTTATTCTTAAAAGAGAATAATTTTAAACTTAATTTGACATTTTCTTACCACATAAGATATTTTCATTCACGTCACTTTTTACTTACTGCAATCAATTTGCTTTCTTATTAAATATTAAACATAATTTGTAATTTCTTGATTTCCATGGCCAACTGCAATTAATTTTAATGCTCTTTAAAAAGATTAGACATCTCAATAACAAATTGCCTTATTCCACTCCATCATATGTATCTCATCATCTCAAAAAATACACATAGCACAAAATAAAGAGGGAAAACAAATAAATAAATAAAAGGCAATTCTAGGAGGGCTTTGGGTACCCCTCTGGAAAAAAAAAACACACACACACACACAAATTCCAAGACAAAACCCATTTCCCAAATAAAGAATTTATGTTTAATTTTGAGAATGAAATCAATTCAAAAAAGAGAATTGTAACTTAACCATTTAAACAAAAAGCTGTAAGTTTAATTTTCAATAACTTCAAATTGCGTGTACTCATCTCTTGTCTCTCTTAATTATCTATATTAAAAAAACTACTTTACATTTGTGCAAATAATAATTAATTAATCAGGACTAGGACCTTAATGATAAAATGGATGAGGTTTAATCAAGCAAAATGTGTTCCAAACCAATTAAACTATTTCCACATACTTTATAGATTATAGTGACTAAAAAAGAAAAAAAAGAAAAAAGAATTAGATCAAATAGGAGGATGGAACGGATTCAGCTTGATGTGAAGACGACCTAAGGCCTTTTTTATGATTATTTTCTCTAGGAGGGAAAGTGAAGTTATTAATTAGATTTTTATTTTTATTTTTATTTTTTTTCCAACTTTGGTTCAACTAGATGCACATATTATTTAAAGCTTTGCATTCATGAGAGATTAATGATGATTTTCACTTGAAGTGAAATGTTAAAAAACAAAGTCAATAATCACTTGATGACATGTGTATCTATCTATGTGTCAATAAATACTTATTTTGATAAATAAGTTTAAAAGTACCATCTTTTAATAATAAAAATTTAAAAATACTTTATTTCAAAAAAAAAAAATCCTAATTATTCTACATTAAATCCTCAAGGGGGTCACAGAGCTTGTAATTCAACCGATACCTATGTCCTCGATCTCTTTTAAAATATTTCAGATTTGAACCTTTCTTTTGTTTTTTTCTAAAAAAAAGCAAAAAAATCCAAAGGGATGGACTTTGAGGATATTATTCCTTCCTCCACCATCAAGGTTCAAACATCAAATTAAATCATGAAAAATAAATTTTGAAAAATTTACTAATCTTGATTTGAATAATATACTTTTAACCGAATCAAAGAATTTGATTTATTTCAACGTGCCAAAACTAGTCCTATATTGATATCGAATGCCTATAAAGTAATAATGAAAAAAAAAAAAAGAAAGAAAAATTATACAAAATTAAAACAATAGCACTCCACGTGTAAAAAAATGGGGGTTTTCCATATTTAGATAATGTATTTTTTGAATTTTTTAATTGAGACTTTATTTATTTATTTTATGATTGAATTCATTTACGTTTCGAGATTTCTTACTTTAAACATTCTATTATACCACCACTAATTAGTGATCGACATATTGTATTATAAAGTAAGAAATCTTATAGAATAGAGATAGCATGTTGATCATTGATTAGTGGCGTTATAGTGAAAGGTTTAAAGTAAGAAATCCTGAAAAATAGAAAGTCTCCATTAAATTTAAAAAAGTGGAGGGTTTCAATTACAAATTTTTAAAGAGTATAGGGTTCAAATATGAGAAAAACCCTATAAAAAAATAAAAAATACATTCCAATACTCGATCAATTTTTTTAACAAAATTAAATCAATTAGAGATTTTATAGTCTCTACTAGTTTCTTACCTGTACTCTACTATGGATCGGGCATAACATGTAAAATAATTTTAAAAAATCATTCCAATTTACTAGTTTGCATTGGACTATAAGTTAGCCAAAATATATTAAATTAAAAGTAAAAAAAAAAAAAATCATCCTATTTTATAAATTTTTAATCAAAATTTATATTAAACAAATTCTTTCTCGTATTTTTCATAATTTTTGTACATAAAAAATGATTTTTTTTTATCTATGAATTATTAATTAAAAAAGCATAACATTTTTTTTTATAAGATTTTATTGTTAAAATAAAATAACAATTGATGTAAAATTTTGCATAAAAATAAAAAAAATAAAAAATTATTTTTGATTTTTATTTAATTTTGATGAGAAGATTACTTTTTGAGAGTCTATAAATTTTATTTTGGTATATTTATTCATAAAATTATCAACAATATCAGAACAAAAAACTATATTTGAATAATTAGCTTGTTCTAAAAAACATAATTTTAATTATTTAATTTAAAAGAAATTGATTTTATAATATCTATAAATAAATAATAAACAATCGTGGCTTGTGTTGTTGCAAAGTTAATTTTTAATAAAACCAATACTATATATATATACTCGATTAAGTTTAGAGTTTGCAACATAAAAAAAAACAATTAGTTTGTAAGTAGCATACTGAATAAATTTAAATTTAATAGATTAAAATAAAAACTATTACAAAATTGATTTTGATAAATTTTGATTATATAAAAAATAGCTAATAAAACACATGAATTTCTTTTTTCTTCTTCAATTAATTTTTGTTTTTCTACATCATACAATTTCAGTCCTTGTGCATATGCCTCCCATACAAAGTTGTGATTAAAAAATTACTAGAATCCATTGTATAAATTATATTTTTTATATTTTTTAAAAAAGAAAAATAATAACATTCAAAAAATTTAATTAAAATTCATATTTTTTGATAAATAAAATTTAGTAAAAAAAAAATCAATTGGATGAGAATTTCTATAAGAAACAACTAATTGAAAGAATAAATTTTAAATAATAAGATTAATATAATTTAAAATATATAAACATATCATACATATTTTTCCTCTCCAGGTTGTTTGAGACACCTCAAAAATAGCGATCGATCATCCATAATTTTCATCCAATAATCTATAATCATAAAAATAAAAATAAATTAATGGAAAAAAGAAGAAGCAAAAGCGCACTAAAAATTAATAAAATAAACCAAGCCCGCAAAATCAAGACTTTATGAAAAAAGAAGAAGAAGAAATAAGTTGAGAAAATAAATAGTAATTCCTAGCATTTAAAAAAAAAAAAAAAAACCTGCAACAAATTCATTTATATTTAACCAAACAATAACCCAAAATGACTATTTCTTCATTTCTATATCTTTTTTGTCTTACTTTCCTTAACAAATCTATTAAAAAAATATGTAAAGTTGAGAAAAAAAAATTGAAACCTAATCGATCTAATTTGTTTACGGAGCAAAAAGAAAACTAGAGGGTATTAAAAATCTTAGTGACTTTTCTACTCTAATTGTGGCATTTAGCCATCATATAACTTAGTGTGGCAATTTAATGGTAAAAATTACCTCCAAACTAATGGATTATAGAAATTTAAGGCTTATACTATCAATTTAGGTTATTTGGATCCTAAACTACTAGTTTTTTTTGACAAATTTTATCCTTCTCTATTATTGCCGACCGTTCTATTTTTTTATTTTAGAATTAAAATTAATTTTAATTTTTTTAAAATAATAGTTAGTTTTAAGGAAGCTCGGATGATTTTGTTATTTATGAATTTGGCTTTTTGCTGTTGAATAATTAATGATGTGTAATGAATCTATCTAGCAAAAAGAGTTGTTATTTTTTAGGAATTTAAATTAATTTTGAAAACAATATTTAATAATAATTAGCTTTAACATAGCTTAGGTGATTTTTATTTTATTTATGGGTCTTACTTTTGTTGTTTGATAATTAAAAATAGGTAACGGATCCATTTAGTTTTTTTTAAAATAAATTATTATTATTTTTTAAAATTAATTTTAATTTTAAAATAAATTTGAAGTGCTTAAAAAGATGTCGTTTTAAACAATTTAGTTAAAGATTGATACTTTGACTATCGAAACAATGGAGAAGGATCAAATTTGTAGTATTAGTAATAATAATAATAGTTTAGGATTTAAATAACTAAAATTGATAGTATAGATCATAATTTGCAATAACCCCAATGGTTTAGGTATAAATTTTGCCATTAAACTATATTCTAGTTAACAATAAATGTTTTGATTGTTAGAGATAACGAAAGAAGGGTAACATTT